CTCTCTCCATTCCGAATGCTGATAGTGAGGTGATAAGATAAGAGTTTATATCGTCATGATAACGACGAGTGGAAATTCGTACACGCCTTTTCTTGCTTGCATGCACGTACAAGTTGGGATTGGCATAGAGTCCTATTTAGGGCAACTCGGGCAGTTTTTCTGCTTCTTTTCCACTAATCAGTTACATAGCACTTTGTCTTTCGTAGTAGAGCTTCGTTACCCGCAGTCAGTGGCCGCGGACTTTGCCTCTAATAGAAACATGCCCCTCACCATTATTAAAACCTTCCTTGTCCAGGTAATGCTTTCGTACCACCTCCTCGACGGAACACTCAACCACGTGATTATCGACGTCTTTCAAAACGAATCTATTTATTCGCGAATCTCCAAGGTCTTTAGATAACGTTCTTCCATAGATCTCTTTCTGAAAACTTCTATTAGTCTGATTGAACACCTCAACTGGATGACTCGTACAGAAAATTACCCTCCTATCCGACTCACCTTAATCGGCTCTGTAAGCACTATTCTCTCCAGAAAATCACGATTAGATATTCTTAGTGCCCGGTCCTGCAAAAGAAATACAAGCGATAGTAAAATTGCAGTATAAAAAGGAGAGGCTACTGCCAAATTCCATGCGGCAGATGTTACTCAAGAAGGAAACTTAGAAATGAAGTGATATAATTATGTTTCATTTTGAATTTTCATTACCTCCTAAATAAATACATGAATAATTAAAGGATTTCCAAGGAAACGATTCGAGAAACCTGAAGCATGAGCTTGTCCTTATCCGCCACAGCGTCGTCTTCCATACCTTCCCGGATCTCCTGCAATGCTTCTTCCCGCTCCTTCAAATGTGCATCGAGATTAAGGGAAAGCCGATCCCACAGTGCTCCACGCTGGCCAGTACAGAAGCACTTCAACTCTGAATATTAAATATACGTCTTGAACAGCATCAGGCAAACTGGAAATACTCAATTTGTAACTCTGAAAATTGGAAGCTAAGATAAGCGTTTATGGAACAATAACGAGCAAAGAGGAATTGCCCAAAAAAAGTGAACAGAAACCAAATACAATGAGCCAAAACGAAAAAGAACAAATTGAAAAAAATCGGGAGCAAACTCTTACGAACAAAGCGACTCATTCCACTTCTCCAGAGCGTGGCACCCTTTTGGAAAAGCTCTGCAGGGACAAAAGATCTCTGGTACGACTCCTCTTCCTCATCTCCTAACCTACCTACCCCATATTCCAGATTTGCGAATTTCCTACAACTTTTTCCAGTGTTTTCCCCAAAGAAAACTCCCATCGAACGGTGAATGGGTCGCAAACATTTATCCTCGAAGGCAAATTCTACGCCCTCCCTCCCGACCGCATACACCACCTCACTGGAGATCCCCAATGTACAACGTGCCCTGCTCAATCTGTAGGAAAGACGAAGGACGTTATCTATGGCGCACACCATCAAAGTTTGTCTGGCACAGACTCACAAGGCACATGAAAAATGACGTGAAGTATTCTTGAGATGTTGCTTCATGCAAAGGAGGAAGCCCCCCCCCAAAACTACCGCCACGTTCACGAGAATGTTTAATCATTCATCACTACCGACCGGCTCTAGAATTTTTCTCTACTCTAGCCTCTAGCCTACAGCTTTCGTATCTATCTGAAGGGGCTGGTTCAATTCCAGGTTCGGGTCTTCAGTGGACAGGTCCTGCAGGTCATTGATCCTGTCTGAAAGACAGTTGCCGTCCCCTCCTCCCTTCGCGCAACGTCGCCATGGTGCATGACTTGTTTTTCATGACTCGACCCTGTCAGAGGAACTGATTGGCGAGCGCTCTGGAATCCCAGACGCATAGGAGTGACATATTCTCTAGATGTAAGGCCCAGAGCGTCCTTTTACCCCATCACTCCATGGGCAATAAGCTCCATGACTGAACTGTTTTCACCCCAGCGGGAATTAACCAGGATTTAGGATGTACAGAGTGACAACGAAGAGACTGAACGAAAGCTTAGTCATCCCTTCAACGCATTTTCTTCACAGTGAGCACTGGCTCTGACCGCATTCTACCAGTAGCCCGTTTTTGTCTCTCAACGCTCCATTATACATCTTTCACAAAATAAACTAAATTGCTGGAAAAGTTTTGTACCGGGAGGAATTTGGATGGCCTGGGCGGAAGGTGGTCTGGGATATTAACGCCACACCACGCGCCTGGTAAGTGGGCCCACTTGCCACTGCCACCTCCGTCAACAAACCAGGATATGAACATTAGTCTCATTTCTGAAATTAAAGAACTGCAAACTCTTCATCGTCCCGGAGTTTTTGAGTAGGAATCTTTGCCAGCTGATCGCTACGGCATACTTCTTTTGTCGTTCCAATACACCTGCTCCGTGCGATACACATCTGGTCAGAACCCAAAAAGCGGAGAACCGACGAAGGAATACAGGCAGGTTAGCAACTTTTTCTCGCCTGCAAAGGCTTCAATACAGGGGGTCAGTTGCTTTGGGAAGGAATCAAAAGAAAAACAACAATTTGAGTCTTCTTGAGCGCCCTGGTAGCCGTCAGGGCTTTTCGGTTCTTCTAGCGCCTAAAGCTGTTGTGGGCCGACCACTAACGGATCAGCCTGCTTTTAATGAGAAGCAACTCAATATTGTTCAATGTCTCTTTCAGTTCATTGATAGATTCGCTTGGAGAAAATGGGGAGTAGGAAATGACGATTTAAACCACAGTTACTACTTCAAAAAAAACCTTTCTTCAGGCATCGATGTCAGCATTTCACGTGCTTTAAACGCACATTCGTAAGCCTCTGTGAACTTGTTGTTGCCGAGGAAGCCCAGTAGTTCGATTTCGAGTTCTTTTGCTTCAACATATCTGAAATGCCTCTTTTTGCAAAGGCTATGAATGTTACTCGTACATTAATGACTGAAGATTGTAGTTGTTGTTTTGAGCTCAACGGGGTTGCTGAGTTAGATTCCAAATTCCACAGCTGATATACAGGTATTATCACTAAAGTCAGGCGGGGCGTGTCAGGCAAGCACTATCGCGGTGCCGCGCGATACGTAGCCGTAGTAAATTATTTACATAGTTTTCAATGCCTTGTGATATGACGGACGATGGAATTCCAGGAGAACATCTGCAGAGTCACAGAAGCGCGGAAGCCACGGAAAAACATGCATGAGGAACACACAAAAAGCGGCGATTGGACTGTAGAAGCGAAACACCTGCAGTCCAGTATAAAAGCCCGTGACTCCTTCGGTCATCGTCTCAGTCATTCTACATTTTGCTTAGAATCTTTCATGTTACACATTATGGTTTTTTTTTATTAATAAAAAAATTCAGAAATCTGATATATTTGTAGTTTAATTACCCAAGTTTGAGGTGCCTTATAAAGTGCTTGGCTTATCGTTCTCTGTACTGTGGCAATATCGTCTTTTGGTCGGATACTTATATCTCTCTCAATAGTCAGCAATATAACCACTGAACCCAATATACAGAACCGCCTGCCAGCATGAGGGGTCATTGATTAGAAGGAAAGGTGGTGACGCCGTGCCAAAACTAACGGCAGCTGACATGCCCCCGACTGACTTCATTAATAACGACTTTACTTGGCATTTATATGACCGGCCAATTGACATATTATCTGATCAATGGATCTCACTATTACGCGCTAGAGTTCAGACGCACATAGCTCCCTAATATGTAAAAACCAAGCTAGTGTCTATCCACAGCATCACATCATGGGAGTTTGTGGAAGATGTGAAATTATGCTAGTCCTGTTCGCTGCGGATGTGGGGCGCGTCAAGCGGCGGGCTGGATTTGGCGTAGCGCCAGCCCGTTTTCCACATCGTTGGTGAAACCGGGCTAAGCGACAACGACTGCTGGAAAATGTGCTCACACTGCGCCAGACCCACCCCTGGTACGACCCATCATCCGCAGTGGACGGAACGTCAAATCGTTTCGTAACTCGTCACTACTTGGCTAAACTCACGCCATTAACTCCTCCTTATTTTCAAAGATGGAAATGATATCTGGACAAGGATTCGGAGCAGGGAATTTGACAAACACTTGATCATGCGAAGCAGTCGTGACCGAAGACAAAGTATGGATACAAAAGGATGCGATGCTCCACTTCGACCCCCCTTATGTAATGCTCTACGGTTGACGATTTTCGAAGAAATACGGTGAATCGTTTGGTATGCAGTCAATACGCTGATAGACGAGAGAGTGGGACTTCACCCTCTGTCTCATACGCATCCGATAGAAGTGAGAGTTAAAACAGGATATAATTCTGTAGAATGCGCAAGAGTATCGCAGGCGAATGGACTCTCTGAACCCTCATATGTTCGCCACATTCACGAGGAGCTTCAGCTTCTAGAGGGGCAAATTCAACTCTGACCATGAGAAACGCATCGTCTGAAAGTTTGGACCTGAATAATAATGAGGGATTGTAAAGAATAAAGTGCCTCTATTTGAACACCTGTCTTTGGCGAAAATGCGCCTCGTGAGCGGCAATCGTAGCCGGACCCAAGCGATGTAGCGGGACAGTGCTATGCTCAAGGCACGTCCTAAAGTGGTTTAAGAAATTTGTACAAAGTACGACCTCCACAACTTGCACCTGTTGTACGACCTCTTTCGCTCCAGGCAACCAGAACACGACCCCTTGGCTGATTGACCGAAACGCACGGCGTCTTGGCTGTTACATGTCAAGCATCTAGCTAGGATAAACTCTGCTAGGTTAAAAGCGATGACGTGACCTGGGAACAACTATATCCACCCTATAGAGCATTATAGCACGCGGGCAGATCAAGATTCTTCTGTGGGACAGACCTCAATCCGCTTCAATTCAGAACACGGTATACAGTTGGAATGCCGATTTGACGATTAGTAACTCAAGCTCTAGGTAGCCGATTTGCTACCAATGTTTCACGCCACCCCCCGGCCCTCTCCTGTGATGCCACTTACCGATCTCCAAAGGACGGAGAGCTGATTGGGTCTGGAGGTCCAAATGTCCATCCACGCGTGGGTTGCACTTGGCACTACATCACAATCGCAAAAAAATCGCAATTCACGGAGGCGAAATTACTTGGTGTCACGCTGTCAACTTGCAGGGTGGCGATGAAAGAATTTTGCATTTCAAATCTACTAGTCTCACTTTGATACTTTATGATTCTAGCACACGGGTATGTGCTGACAAGATAGTGGTCATGCCGCTCTAATGGGCGTGGCGAGCGAGCTCCGCCCGCGAGAGGTTGCTTGCCGACAGGTGTTTGAATATGAGGGTTTGAAAGTAAGAAAAGATCCTACATCATTCGCATGGAGCGCTTTTTTCCACTCCAATTCACAATGTGTTTTCTGCGCCTAGTCGACGATTTATGCACGTGGCGACTGATCCATCGAGGGCGCGACAGATTACGATTGTCTTGTCCGTCTCTCCTGACGCTCAAATTCGAGACTAGGCTGAGATCACGGATTGGCCCGTACCCAGCATTCTGTGAAGTGTCCTTGTGCCGTGAGAAAAATCCGAAATTGTGAACCTACAGTAGAGTCTGCGAGATGTTGACACTTGGCTGATCGATCGCCAAACTGGAACACATTTCCGTTGGGGCGTATAAGGTGAACAAAGCCTGAAATCGTTCATGTTCAGCTCGTTCCCATCACTCTGCCAATGCACTCGCGAGAAAGATGTTGCACGAAAAACTGTTCCCTCTGGGTCCGACGTACCTTGAAAAGTTCACTGGCCTTCCGGTTCACACGATAACAAGAGCCAAGTTCCTTTTTGATGCTAAAAAGAAATTTATTGAACAACACTAGAATGACTCGAACACATTAACTAGAGAGGACCACATTCAGCTTTTGGAAGCCGAAAGTCGGGCAACGTCGTGGAATTTACATTGATGTAGGGATATTCAGTCATTGGAAAGCAGGCGTTGTTCGTCTTGGAGAAGGCATTTTGCACTTTGGCTCACCCTTTTGTTGGCTCATGTTAACTATGAGGTCATATTAGCAGACCTGCAAACTCCTGTGATGCTGCAAAATTGTCCAAGTGAGGCACTCTGCTCACAGGAATTTACAGATCTTTACTATGGCACCTGTGCAAGCTTAGCTGAGCACCATTTCGTGCCCCCAGCATGCTGAGTTGCGTCGGAAGGCGTTTTCCACACCCCGTGATATACCCGTACTTGAACAATGGGAAGGGCAGGAGGGGAACCGGTCCTAGAACGGCTGTAAGTTCCCCGACATTTCTTCTCTTATACAGACGGCCATTGTAGCTGGTATGGTAGTGCAAAAAGTAATGCTTACGCTTTTAGCATCGCAACAGCTACAGTACCCACTTGTCCGAAGAGCCCTTTCTGTTTCGACGAAAATGTCGTTAATGTCGTAGTCAGTTCGATTTTACCCTGAAATTGTCACTGAAAGTGTAAAAGTAAATGAAATCTAGTTGCGCGCTACCTTTGTTGTGTCGAGCTGGTACATTTTTGCAACAGTTTTTATTACGGGCAATGGAGCCACTTTCAACGCCTCTTCAAGGGTTACCAAACTCCTGTCACCTGAACTACGGAAAGATTATACTGGCTTCTATAGCTGATATCGTCAACATCATTCAGGCAGTGTCAGGAGTGGAATCAGCCTCCCTAGGCTGCATTTTCTTTCAATCTAGAGCGGTTAGACTGATTCAGGAAGGAGAGAACCTGATGACATCGCCATGACTGACTGCGACAATATCAACTGCACCTCCCATTCGAAAACATTCAAATATTGACGAATAATGCGAAAACAAACAAGAGCAGTAATTGGGTCGGTCGAGAACCTACTCATGGTCGATACTCAGAACTTACTATCGACGAAGCCATTGCTGACCAGCTGTACCAAAGCGGGTTGCATATCTGGCGATAACTCCGCATACCTGAATACCCTCTGTATAGAAGCGAAAGCCACGATAAACTGCAAGACGTGTAAGATTAATACCCTTGGCAGGTCAGAATTCGGCGGTACTGAGCAGGCGCTGCGCGCCTTTTCCAAGGGAGGTATTCTTATAGCGCCCTATCGACCTGCAGCATACCGACCTCGACGCACACTATAGTTCTCTGCGGACGGTTGGGCGAGTCAGCCAGTATGAGTGTGTCACCCTATTAAAGCCTTCTCTGAAGAGCGTCTGCGACAAAAAGTGGTAGAAGACTAGTAATACGAAGGATATGATACAGTATTGTCACTTGCCCGCTTCAACAACTGGTGTAGAACGAGTTTGGCACCGCGCCAAGCGCAGCCGCACGGACCCGCCCAATCGTCGCAGCGAACTACACTATACATGCAGTCGTATCTATCGTAGCACTTAGTGCACCAATGGGAAACTCGTCCGAAATTGCTTTCTGAGACGTGTAGAACAAAAGCTTTTTCGCAGGTGTGTGACCATTCCCCTCCGCTTTTTCGCCATTTCCTCCACTATACAGCACCCTGCTACCATTTAAGACCTAGTAGCAAATTGTAGTGCCTTAAGCCTTTAATTCCTCTATTCCACAACCGAGACATTTTGCATGGTCTCGGTCAAACATATTTAAAAAATCTAAGGTGTCTTTCTAAATCCTCGGCCATTGAAACCGCTGAGGCTTGTTCCCACTGGCAATAGATTGCCTCACTGGCACAGGCACTGGAAGTCGGCTGAAACAAACAGACGCAGAGAGAGTCAAAAGCGTCAACGCATCGCGACATTGCTGCAGTCAGAGGATTGGTTCCTGGCGCAAATACTGCGTACGCCACCCCGCTTGCAGCTTCGCCGCACTAGCTGCGACTCGGAACTAAAGATGTTGACCCCGCTCATCCAATACAGACTTATTAGGGTGAGTGAAACTCAAGTAGACTTCAATTTTTAAGGCTTTGATGGTACCCACCTTTCTTTTAGCTTATCCAGCGTCAACCACACGACTTCCTTAGGTGCAATCTCATGAAAAGTTCACGTGCGCTACGAGAAAGATCAAGAAATCTGAAACTTTGGAGAAGTAACTTGACGTATAATGTGACATACAATTTTTGCCATGGCGAAAGCTGGATTACATGTTTTGTTCTTACAAAAATTTCCATTTCTTCGAGAACAATACATCATACCTGTCAAATATGGCAATATCCCTTTGCCAAAAGGATTCGTCGTAGCGTGTTCCATCAGATTTTATGGCAAGGAGCACCTGGAATCAAGAACACTGAACTACTGGTGGACCTATGTAGATCTAGATCCTTTAGGTTGGTCTTATATGCTCAGAGATGGCGATAAGGGTGAATTCTAGCAAGTCATTGCTTATCGCCTTGCTGCGCGTTTATTCTGGTGGGAGATCTGTTAGTGGAATCTGGGGCTGGAATCGTGGCTGAGAAAGATACGAGTCGATTCCACAGGGAGACGCGCGATATTGCAATCGTTGTGGTTAGCCTGGTGGACTTGTAGTGAGAGAAGCCATAAGTGATAGAGAAGCCGGTTGGGAGATCCACGTTGTGGCAACGAAGCCTAGCAAGTGGCGTCACATGTGTGGCACTAGTTCAGGTTTCATACTTTGCGTATGCGTTCTGAGTGTCGAGCGACTAGGAAAGTATAGGCATTGATCTAGCATACGTCAGCGTACAGCAGCAATTTCAGCTACTAGGAGAGCACAGATATCAATCCAGCTTTTTGAGAGTACGCGAGCGTTTTGAGCGTTTTTGCGTATAGTCGCTGGAAACGCTAGCGTATGCTCAAAAGGCTAGACTGATACCTATACTTCCTGACCGCTCGGAACGCTCGAAACGCTGTCGTAAGTGTGAACCACCAGGACCCAACCGACCTGATGCAGAAGCATCTTGAATTAGGGAGCTACGTAACACTAACTGGTTTCTGCTCGTCATCATAGCGTGCATCTTCCAGCCCGACACCCGCTATAGCAGAGGGTCATCCCCGTTCTCGTGGGCTCGTCTCCGAGGCGATTTTCGAAAATTATCTCACTGCTCGCGGAAGAATTTCTGAATCGCAGGGTTGCTCGAATATGAACCCTGAATCTGTGGTCTCTATCGCGGTGAGAAGAGAAATGAGCGCGGGTAGTGGAAGGGTCCGAGGGCTAACGTCTGCAGACTGATAGAAATTCAAATGATTGTTACCCGTCGCATCATCAGAAGAGTGAACTTCACAATATAAGGAATCCTTTTGCTTTCCATAGTCTGACTACTTTGTTCCACCTCATCTGACATCGTCTTCTGGGGTGACGGATTCACAGATGAACCGGACAGAAGGCGCTGGAATGCGAAAAAACTAACAAAACTCACTGGAGTGAAAAAAATCGGAGTACCTCAATTTTCTTGACGATTTCGTCAGCACTAACAACTCTAGTCTCCTTCGCGCCCATGAGGACATGCTCTTCTTCAACCTCCTTTGCCATCGCGGTCCTATTCGGGAAGAGTGGGGAAGAACAATGAGAAGATCTTCAAAAAAGGTACGTACAACAAGGAATGAAACTCAAACGGAGCTGTCTGGGGAACGCAAGATCACGCGGCGGCGATTTCGCAAACATGATAGGCGACTCTGACTCATCGTAACCAGAACAGGTCCTGCTGATGGAGAAATTCCTACAGAATACGCCTCACTCAAATCTTACTTGACATCATTTTTCCAGCTTCCCACCACTCTCGTGGTTTTTTCGAAAATTTTACAATTTTCCCCTTCCTGCCGTCGAACGAAGGGGGGGGGGGAGAGAAGTTGTGCAGCGCACCTGGAACAGGAAAAAACGAAAACAGTCAGACCCCCCCTCCTCTCCAGTGAAATGTCCCTTCCTTCTCGCTGAGGGTCTCCAACGTGCACGACGTTGACTGATCGTCCCGAACCGTATATACCTAGGGCAGCTCCGCCAGCACTATGAATTGATAGGGAAATTTATGAACCGAAAATGGTCTTACATTCGTGTTCGTTTTGTCGAGACGACTTCATAAACATCTTCAGAAGTGTGAGCTCTTTTCGTATCAGGAGGGCAATTTCTACAATAATGGTCTTGTTGACTAGAGATTTAATGGTGTAAAATTAAGTCGAAACGAAAGGACTTACTCGGGATCTGCTTTGCAATTTCTCACTTCTTCTACTTCGATGATTTCGATTTCATCTACAGTATCGACACATGCCTTTATGCGTCTACTCCTTCGCCGTTCTACTTCAGGAGCTGAACCTAAGAAATAAGTGTCGCACATCACTATTTCCCGATTCCTTGCCAAGTGATAAGGCTGTGTTAGTGTCTTGCGACATTACAGAAAAGGGAAAACAGCGGAACAGGACGAATCCTCGAAGGAGAATATTTGCTAACCTGGAGAATGAGAGAATCGGTAAAAAAAACTAGATACATGTTGTGGTCTTCGATTCTCCAGTTGCACGAAGTCAGTAGATAAGGATGCATGGCCCTTTATCCCCTTTCTGGTTTCAGATCGAGACGTGTAGTGTCATTCTACCGGATTTTCTGATTCTTCCAAATTCCAGATCCTCGGACTCTCCAGTGCCTCAAGATGTCCTCGGCGGCCCAGTCCACCAGCCTATGAACGGAACTGCTAATTACAACTATACCATTTTCTGGGGTATCAGGCGCACCTTCTCTCTGAATAGCCACACTGTATTTCCCTATTTTCTGGTAGATCGGAAGACGCACGGGGCAACCTTCTGTGGGTCCTGACTTCTGATAGCCTGACAAACGCAAACGGAAAGCCATAAAAAAAAATCGCGCGTTGTTTGAGACGGAGGTGCGCCCCATAAACGGATGCGCCTAGTACCCCTCAATTAGATGTTCCGCTCATGCGGTGGCCTGGACCTCCGAGCACGAGAATATGGCCGAAATGTCAGGCCAATATCAATTAGTAGTTCCATCCAACAGCCTTTTCGGCACATTATAAGGAAACTTATCGGTTACGAGAATTCTGAGGCTTTATGGAGAGAGAGGTTAATATGTTAGACTAACTCTTTACGCTTGACGAGATTTCCTTGCATGCTTCTGGCTTGAATTCCGGCTCTTCATCATCATCTAACACTATAGACGGTCCAGCATGTAGAGCACGGCTTTCGTCACCGGTAAGCACGGCTAAAATCTGAAATCCGAACGAAGTGAAGCGAACAGGGGCACGGTGAAACACAGAGTGAGAAATCATGAGCGAGAACAAGCGAGTAAGTTCCGAGCATCCCTTATGGTCAATTATCAAGCGGAGATTTCCGAAAAACGATAGCACGGCTCCTTTTCGAGCCTCTCTGTTCACGTACATTGCGAGGAATCTGTGATATGCTTGAAGGATGAACTTGCGGTGGAATTTCTAGCAAAAGACTCAGTTTTCGGGAGCCCCTGATTGACACACCTGCAGAACGCACGAATTGGGAGACTGCGCGGCAAAGGATCAGATGTGAGCAACTGACCTGCCCATTAGCGTTTTTGAAGAACCCGTAATCTAAACGCATGAATCGTTCGAATGCGCGATCCGATGGAAACGCCATCAGTGGACTCCCATTCAGTTATGGAGCTATAATTTGTCAAAGAATGTCAAACCAGTGCTACACTGCTTTGAAGAAAATAAGAGAGAGAGAGAGAGAATGAGGAGTAATCCACTATAGTTTTACTGATAACTATCAAATTTTTTATGATACCCACCTCACAATCGCTGTCATTTGACCTTAGCTGACATCTGTCCAAGTGGGCTCTGTACAGCGTCAGGAATACGGATTGTTTGCACACGGGACAATCCTGAAGAAACAGCTTTATGAACCCAAACAGCTCGAAAGTCTAATTTTCCATTCATTGAGCAATGATGCTAGTTCTCAGAACATAACATAGAATCAAGCAGCCTTAGCGATGTGGAAAATGGTGCTATGGCCCAAACTGATTAGGACCAACCCATTATGTGTAACCGAAATGAAGACAGATTGGAACCGCTACAGGGTGTTTCATACCAGAAGTGGTCGATGAAATGCTTACAGTCGTTTTCGCTGCAGCTTTCGCGTTCGAGTAGAGGGGGGGGAGGGCGGGGGTCTGGGTTCAACGGGGCGCTGGTTCGTTTTTCACCAACTGTTCTCGCTTGCACGCTTCAGCAATTGGTTTAGATCGGGCTGGTGCCGCGCTAAACCAAGCCCCCTTGCCGCGTCTCAAGGTCTGCAGTGAAAACAACAATACTTCATGGCTCCATAGCTCCCAATTGTTCCAATTAGAAGGACGTTACTAATACTAATCAGCAATAAACCTCTGGACTCCAACGATCTTACCTCCTTTGTCCTTATAATTCTTGACCTCTGAATAGCTTTTTTTTCCACGGTAGGTCAGGCTGCGGTACTAGCAAGTGGTAAGTAACACCGAAAAAAAACAACTGTGGGCTCGCACAGAAGGCCCTCAGAAGGGGCTGTCGTTGCAGTTTTACTATTTCAGATAGCCGAAGTGGAAAACGGGCTGGGACTCCGTCAAAACCCACGCCGCGCTGACAAGTCCCAACCCGCCTAAGTGACTTCGGTGATAACGACTGTAAGTGGAGCAAGGTACAAAGTTACTTGTCGTAGTTCAAAATGGCTTGCAACGCCCTACCATATCGCATTTTTTGGCCTAGAGGGTAGATGCAGTTGTTGAGAACCTTCTTGCCTTTGCCTCCCCCTCCCCATCACTCTTCGCACCTATGCTCAGCCAAAAAACCGTCATCCTCCAGCCAGCGATCGTTTTTCCGCATCTTTGGGCACCGATAGTGCCTGCCTTCCAACAAAGAGACAATTCATCAAAGAAATAGCGTGAAAACGTAGCTTCACCTCCCAAGCAACTTTTTGTGATAAATTCTGCGTTCAGGCTTCCACTCCGCGATGATGGTTGTCATCGCTGACCCTAGACGCAGCCTAAGCTATTCCACAGATGCACCCCCATACCACGGGACAATAGTTCTCACACTATGTGGAATAAGGTGATGCACTGGAACGAACCTTCTTCTTTTTCTGTCGATCGAACGCTGCCATAATCGTGCAGCTTTGCTTAACTGACATGTGCGCAGCGGTCACCTTTGCAGCGCGACCACGAGAAGACATCGCGTGGTTTTTTGTAGGATAACTTTCCCTAATGAATAGAACTAACTGAAATGAATAACAACGTCTCTGTTCATACATCATCCCAAACATTAGGCAGCTTAATCCTCCGCAGTCAAACTCAAATTAAACTTATTCCTTTATTTCTGTACAACAACGAATTATTCGTCAAGAAAATAACAATGGAAACAAATACAATTGCTCTATATCGGTACAAATGTAGTTGAAGGGGGCCAGCCGCGTCTACACAGGTCCCTCTATCCAAGGCTCACGCCTGGCAGAGTACAGATGAAAGTTGGGCTGCGTTCATACTTTGCGCCAGCGTCCACCAGCAACTAGCACCGTTCCGAGCACGTAGGCGAGCGCCAGCGACTAGGAAAGTATAAATATAGATCTAGCGAACGCCAGCGTCTACAAGCGTCCGCAACGTCCACCAGCGTCTCGAGGGACTAGGGAAGGGCGTACGCTAGATCGATACCTATTATTCGACACCGTACAGCACCATCTTCTGTGGGGAACTTTTGAACCTGAGCAAAATGACGCAAAGCATGAACGCTGCCTAACTGCGATCAAGACCCCTCTCCCTCCCCTCCTAAACGCTGCCGCAGGCACTTCAACTTCTTTTGCACCGATCAATCTTCAACGATATAGTGAATGCGCATACGCAAAACAATTATGATGCAGTAGTTATGATGCAGTCAGGCTCATCAGTATAGTATCGCTCGCTGAGGATGATGGGCGTGTCAGCGCAGCTGTGTTTGACGAGGCGCCAACCCGTTTTTTTCGGGACCTTGGGCGATTCTATCGTCGGCAAGTCAGGTCACGTCGCGCACATCGCGTCGCGGCGTCTCGCGCGGCGCGACAATTCCGGAGTTGCATTACCGACATACAAATGAGTCTCGAAGACCGCGTATTCACAAGTTCCGAAAAGCCCAAAATTGGATCAGTAATTTTGAAGCAAATAACGTGGGACCAGTCTTACACCCCTTTACTTTTGAATGCGGAAAAAACAATCATTGATCATCATAGGAAAATGGGAAAAGCAGTACAGGATTAACATAAACAATATGGCTTGATGATCATTTTAACAATTTCAACGAGCACGACGCAGCAGGACTCGTACCCACCAGCGCGGCGACCTACTTATCATCGACGATAGAATCGCCACACCCCAGAATGGGCTGTGCCAAAGGCAACCACGCTGACCCGCCCCATAATCCGCAGCGAATGAGACTGCAATTTAGCCATTCTGACGTCACCATCACAACTCCATCACAACTGCTCCAGATTTAATGGCAACTGGCTTCTTGATTTCAAGACTACAGTTCGAAACTGCGTGAACAAACCCTTTGGCAGCGTTCACACTTTGCGTCAGCGAACACCAGCGTTTCGAGCGTACACCAGCTACAGCGACTAGGAAAACATGGATATCGATCTAGCGAACGCTAGCGTCTACCACCTCTACCAGCGAGTCCAAGGACTAGGAACAATACGTCTCTATCTAGCGTACGCCCTTCCCTAGTCTCTCGAGACGCTGGTGAACGTTTGTAGACGCTGGCGTTTGCTAAATCGGTATCTACTCTATCCTCGTCGCTGGCGCTGACTACGCTCGAAACGCTGATGGATGCTGACGCAAAGCATGGACGCTGCCTTTCAGAATCAACCCATTCCTGGCTGGACTAAATCTGCAGGAGGCTTTTTACTACCTATTACGTCACCTAAGGGAGCATGCTACAACAAAATATGCACTAATACATCCACATATTTACAACATGGCCTTATACACTGGCGTTAGTTCATCTAAAAAACCTTAAAAACACCGTAATGCGACAATGCGTGCAGTTAGACAAAAAAGCTAGCATACTAGAAGTTCTAGAACGGAAAATGAGCAGCTTTGTCGTCAATATAGCGTTGAAATTCCTGTCCATAAGCAACGCACACCTGAATATAAAGTTCTAAGTAATAAAGTGATGGAAAAGTATAGTTACATAACGAATGGTATTTTGTTGGACACCGAAACATTTCCAAATCAAAGCGCGGAAATAAGCAGAGCCAGGGTGGTTCTCTCAGTGACCTGCTCATTCATTTGCCTATTCTATAAAGGGTGACTGAAATTTATAATTTTTTTCTATATTTGAATTCAAGTCCGCAGTTTCGTCGTGGGAACATTGTTCAACAGGCTCTGGCAAAATATCGTTGTCGCTAACGTGTCAAAGAAACCGCTGATGACTGCAAGTCTTAGAGCGCGTTCAGACTTCGCGATAGCGCGATTGGATCGTTCCATTGGACAAAAACGAGAACACTGGACTACCCAGTAGATGGAGCATTGTCGCAGGTACCTATGAGAATTCAGTGAAGTTCTCTATCGTTGAAAGAATATTCAGTACAGAATACTTTCCAAGGGTCAAAAGATTTTTTTCCAACTCGATGCTGCGCGTTTCAGGGGTCCCAGCCAAAATACATTTCCGAACCAGCTTGCCCATACCAGCAAATCTGATCTCCTCTGCTGTCGTCATGTTGCTCTTGTACTGATTATCGGAATGTGAGCACAAGCGCGATCGGAAAGAGTCACCATATAGCAGTCCACCGAGGAGCATATGGAATCGCTGCCCTACGTCGTAGCAGGCAGCAAATTATGGGCTAGCTAATCGCGTTTCTGCTGCCTGTAATCTCCTTATCAGCACTTACTCGACAAAGGCCCAAACAGGGTCAAACCACGTCTCCTGATGCCCTTATCACGCATCCCAATGATGAAAGCGGAAAACGACGATCACGATTCACGTTTTTCATTTTTTCCGACCACTCAACACCCAAGCTCAAACGGCCAGGCAGTACGACTCGCCTGTCGGGGACGATCTTGCTCGCCCCGCCCACTTAAGCGTCATGTTACGATTGCTTCAAAGACAGCCTCCGCGCTCGAGTAGTACACGGTCGTCCTTCCTTGTGCAAGTAGTACCAAGCTAGAGACTATCCCACTCTCGCGACTCCACAGCGAGCGAGGAGCGAGCTACAGCCGCTGAAAGTTCTAGTTCTAACGCCCGCCCAGTTGGACCGCCCACTTGCTAGATGCCCTCCGACGGAGGGCCGCTCAGTTGTTCTTTGTTGGGGCGGCGGGCATTAATCGGAATTGCATGTCCTTTTCGCTGACAGCGCTCATGCCCATGAATGATTCTGCTCTCCTTTATTACATTTTATTAATCAGGAGCACATACAGTCAACTCCAACACATCTCGCAAGATAAAACGCGTAAAAATCACGAGCGACCCAATTTTCGTGGTGCAAAAGCTCGACGCACTTCACTACACTAAAATATGCACGCTACCGTAACCCTAAATTCGGACGCCGGCTTTTGTTTCTTTTTCTTTTCAAGAGTTTTTCCTCTCTGTTTTTGTTGTTTTTTGTATTCTTTTCTTCGCATTCGATGATATCCACTACTGGGAGATGTGTGACAAAGTGATTTGTGAGCCAGGGCTTGCACAGAGACCGCAAGGAGGTGTGACTGTCAGGGCGCGATTTTGTTTATGTTATTCTTGAGGACTCTCCTTCCTTTTTCTTTTCTAGGGAATTACTTACCAGCTTCATAATTGAACATCAACGTTCCATGACACGCGGGAGCTGTACAGCTCTGCCCCCCGGATACGCAGAAAGTATTTCAGCTCTCAGGGAATCACGAATGGTGTTTTTAGTTGCCTTGAAACCGGCAGCAAAACTAGAATTCTTCCAAAACTTTTTTCGTTCGAAACAGTTTGAGGAACAAACCTGCATCAGAGCCTCAGCATCGTCTTGTGTGAAATGAGACAGGTAAGGTGTTTTGACTACCTTAAACAGTAACTCATAACTTGTCCTGCCCTCTGCATCAAAGAAGAAAAAAGAAAAGCGACTGACCGTTTCGTACAACACGGACAAATCATCATTCAGTCCATTTCTGGCAGCAGCCATATCGAATACCCAAAGATCTCGGCCATCTTGCCTAAAATGCCCTCTGCAGTTATCAAAAAAAAAGTGTCCAACAAATAGCGCATTAATTTGGCATATGAGCAAAATCTATCACCAATCAAAATACCTGAAGAATTCAGGACGAATCCGTCTCATTTTTGCGGCAGGCCAAAGTTGTATGTTGAAGACACTAAGAGGATGGTGAATGGTCGGTTCCGCCTCAGCTTTTCGGAACAACAGTTCTGAAAATAATACAAAAATATATTGTAATCAAGTAAAAATTAGTAAAGGTAAAAAAAGTAAAAAATTAAATAATCTGTAAATCCTTTTGATGTGAGTAATGCTGTTCATAGCCGAAAATATGAAGTGAAAAGTTGGAGATCACTGAACAACCGAATTCTAAGTTCTTGTTGCCTGCAGTGACAATGACGTACGATCGAGGGCACAGGAAAAGGGTTTCCAGCCAAAAACATGGGTTTATGCTGTGCGTCATTTGGTAAAGCAAATTCTTTACTACAGTAGGCCAACAAGGAGCAAATACCCAATGGCCATCTAGGTTGCATGAAATAAGATGAATGTTTTGGGTACCATAGGTCAGAACACCCGACACGCGGTTAAAGCGGCCTGAAAGTGCGTTTATACTCTGCGCAGCGTTCCGAGCGCATAGGAGCGATCTGGGCTTTCGAGCGCACGTCTGTGTTTTAAGAATCTTGAGCCATTAGGAAATTATAGGAATCGATCCAGCGTCACAAGCGAGTACCAGCGTACGGCGGCGTTTTCAGCGACTGCCCACGAGAAGTTCAAAACGCTCTCACTCTCACTTTCTCTACGCAGTTCAAAAACGCTCAAAACGCTGCAGCACGCTCAGTACGCCTACAAAGTGTGTATGTCGCCCGAAACACACTGCAAATTGTGTCATGTGTGAGACAATCGCAACAGGACCCTGCAATCCAAGGCGACAATGCTACATGGTGCCCTGTCAAAGGTTAGGAAACATACCACCAGTTTACGCTTGATGCCGCGCTCCGGGACGTCTTTAACTAAACTCAGGCTTGAGCGTGAGCACAAGCTCAATCGGGTCGAAGTAAACTTGATCATATAGCCAAGCAAATTGAAATATCAGCTTGTCTTGCTAACAATATCCAAGTTCTTGAGACTTCTTCTTTTGCTCAATCCATCCTTTACCTAACACTAAAACTGTAATAGCGACTTTCGCGCCAGTCTGGGAGCCAACGTAGCTGGGAAGGTGCGGGGCATGCAATGAGATGCGGGGATTTCGCATGATTGTAAACCAAGTCTTGCGTCTTTTGACTGTCTCCCCTTCCTAGCGGACCTCTGTGAGGGGTTCTCAGAAGATGTGTTTTGCAAGCCAATGTTGCCCATAAATCTCATCCAAGTTCAAAGGTGCCACGAATGTCTTCCCTGCTACTCTCTCTCATAGGCATAACTACACGTGCCTATTTGTGAGCAGCTATATTTCATTTTCCTCCGTAACCTGATGTGTCACACTGTACTCATATACAGTAACTATTAGGCTGGCACATAAGTAATGGCGTTTGTCACGCAAATTTTTATAAGGAAAATGACAATTGTTCCCATTATGTTCTACACTCCTTGATAGATAATGTTCCGCACTATGAGATAGTACGATTACCTTCTTACTATTTCTGGACAGTGTCGATTCTTATCTCATTGAAAGGGAAATCCGGTCCACCCAAAAATAAGTTTTCTACAACTATTTTTGAATTTTGTCTCTCTCAATCGACAGAACAAGCTCAAACCTTGTGCTTCAAATGCTCGAAGGAAGATCGTCTCATGACAGCTTGAAGTTGGTTCGAGCTATCAAGTGTGGGATTAGGGACCTAGTAAACAGGT